GCCGGCTGCAGCGGGCGGAAAATTCGACACGGGAGCATATCTGTGGGCGGTGGGGTCACCAGAATGTAGTACGCTGTTGGGAGCGGGCGGACAACCAGAGACGAGGGTCGGCACAACGCTCGTCGGAGCGGATGGAAGCACGACACTGCTGACAGTGGGCGGGAACCTAGACACCGTTGGAGGTACTACACTGCCGGCGCTGGCGACAGTGGGCGGGAAACGAGAAAACGAGGAAGAGGGCATGTACGCTACACCTTGGGGAGAATGCTGCATGCGGGGGATTGCATGCATCGTTGCAACACCAGTCACACTCACAACGTCTGCAGAGCGAGGGGGAGGCGGAGGTAACGGTGTCACCACGGGCGCAGCAAGTGGCGTCGTGTNCCACCAGTCACACTCACAACGTCTCCAGAGCGAGGGGGAGGCGGGAGTAACGGCGTCATCACGGGCACAGCAATTGGCGTCGTGTAGTCGGGCGGTAGACGAGTCGCTCTCAAGGATGAACCGCGCTCGCCACGGGGAAAAGTTAATTCACCGTTAAACAGGTGGATACCTATAGGATCCATCTTAATTCGTTGCCCTCCCATGGCCTTGTGGAGCGAAAACAAATTGTAACCCATTCCCTCAACGTGATGCACGTTGGTGAGCTTCACGCAAAAATCGCTTCCACCATTGTGGAACTTGACATTCAGGCTGCCGATACCAAGCACAGGCATCGTCCTACCATCTCCAATCATCACTCGCTCCCTACCAGGCGGAGGAATCACCACATCGTACATGCACCTCGGGTCACCTGTGGTGTGGTTCGTGGCGCCAGAGTCTGCAAGCCAAGTTTCATCTCCTACACTCTCGTCAAGGACGTTCATCATTGCATATCCGTCGTCCCTTCGCTCTACTAGCACACCATTCTCAGACTCACTTGGAAAAGCCCACACCACACACGCATGTAAATCCCCACCAGTCGATGGAGACGCTCCGGTCGAAGGCGCCGGAGGAGCGTACGGGTTGGAGATGGGCTGCTGCTGTTGCACGGGGGGGGGAAGGTACTCCGGCTGCTGCTGTTGGGGCGAGTAATGGTAAACGCCGCTCGCGTGCGTCACCGGATTTTGGTAAACGCCGCTCACGTGCGTCACCGCATGCGCCCCTGTAGATGGAGCTGTCGTCGCCACCGCCGTCGCTCCTGCTGCTCCTGGCGCTACCCCCGGGTAACCCTCTCCGCCGTATTGCTGCGCCGTATTTGCCTGCCCATACGAGTGTGCCCAAGGCGGCCGCTGGCTGTAACCACCGGCCGGCGGCCGGGGCGGCGGGTGCCTGGGCGGCGCGTTGCCTGCCGGCATGCCAGCTGGCCTTCCGACATCAACACGCGAAGGGCAGAACAGGTGGTTGTGGCCGAGTTCACCGCAGTTCTCACACCGCTTGCGAGGGTCATTCGGGTGGATGGGAGGTTCATTTCCCTGTGGGCGGTACATGTTGGGGGGGTAGGTGCTGTAGTCGTAGCCTTGCTGAGGTACAGGGTAGGCGGGGAGGTTGCTGCCGGGCGATCCCTGGTGAAAAGGGCCCCTGCCCCTCCCACCGGAAGCGGCGCCACGTCCCCCGAATCTTCCTCCTGCCGGCTGCTGCTGATGACGTCCTCCTCCAGAAAAGCCCCGGCCCCCATGCTGGGGCCCGTGCCTTCCGCCGTAGCTCGCACCTTGGCCGCCCGAGGGACCTCCCCAACCCCGCTGCAAGCGACATTCCTCGTTGCTGTGGGACGGGGAGTTGTGGAGGTCGCAATATTTTATTTCAGGCGGGTACGACGGCAGGTATACCTGTTGCTGCTGGTTGAAGTACGGCTGATGATGATGCTGTGGCTGCTGCGGTTGTTGCTTCTGTTCCCGCGCTGCCGTCCTCCGTTGTCCTCTCGTCTTCCCCGGTCCCCCCGTGTTCCCTCCCCCGCCATTACGGTTCTCACCGCCAGTGACGAGGGCATAAGCCCCCACGCTCTCCTGCTTCTTCTTCCTTCGCGCCTCCATCTCCGCCCAAGCATTCACTATAATCCGTTCTACTCTCTCCTTCTCTAGACCGCTCTCGGACATCAGAAAACCTGTGTAGACATCATATTCGGGGAGGAGGTTGCGCACAAGATGTCTGTTAGCATCATCCTCTGTAATTGTCACTCCGCAAGATGATAGCCTTTGCCTCAGCACCCACCCTCTCGACAGGTACTCTTTCGGGTGTTGTTGAACCCCTTGCGTCAACTCCTGCCACTCTAGCTGGAGGCTCGTCTTTTCTGTGTGGGCATGCACTTGAAAATGATTTCGAAATATTCGCCATGACTCCGTTGGGCAACCACTAGAGATGATTGCTGGTACGATCGATGCAACTTGAATCTTTGCCAGTATTAACTGCCAGGCCTTCATGGCCTTCTCTACGGCCTTCCTACCATACTCCTCCTTCAGTTTGGGAATGTCTGCATCCGACTTCCCCACCCTGATTGTCTCTTCTGATACTATTGCATTCAGGCAATCTTCTTGTTGCAACAGCATTCGAAATTGGCTCTCAAACACCTGTACTCTAACTTGAACATCGCCACTGGAATCTAACACACCCGTAAATGGGGCTACATGTATTACAGGACTGACACGGATGGTGTCCTTAGGGGTTACGACTTCCCTGGTTTCCTCCCCCGGGGTGTTGGTCCTTCGCATTGCCCGTGCGAACGAATCAACGAGACGGTCTTCCAACGATCGTGGCTGGTCTTCAGGTTGCGGGTTCAACGCTGTTCCAGCCGGCCGAGCATGCCGGGGATCGCCTCCATCGGGGGGCATGTCCACGCTCTCTGAAGCGGGACGCTTTTCTTCTTGTTCTTTCATCTTCTGTTGTACTTTCTTCTCCACCTCCTCTTTGATGTGCGCCGCTAATGCTTGGCGATCCTCCTCAGTATAGCTGCTGAGGTCGAGGGCTTCCTCCATAATCTACTTCTCTAGCCGACCCTTTTATAGCTAGCCTCACCTCGGGATCCCGTATGATATCAGCACGCTAGCGTGTTAGGATGATCCGAACTGGGGGTAGCTTGTCGCAAGACGTGTGTTGAATAGGGTGTCGGCAACTCGGCGAGCTCGCGCCAAGGAGGAAAGACGTGTAGGGTTTGTTGCATAAACTTCTTCTTCACATGAACTCACATGAACTTACATAAAACACACTGAACGCACGCGTGCACGCACCACCATGAGGGGGCGACGCAGTATACAACAGGGGTACCTTGCACATCCTGTAAATACATTCCACGTACCACACAATCCTACAACCACTTGGCATTGCTTCAAGAATATCTATCAGTGGAGGAGTCGGTGAAGAAGGAGGAGCCTGGCAGCGTCGTGGCGAATGCAGCCAGTAGGGGTGGCT